ATATCCTGAAACACTAGAAACTGTTGTTGGTCCATCGGTTTTTCCGTCTGTGTAGCTGGCAACTTTCCCATTTGCTTTGACCGGTGCTGCACTGCCTGATAGTCAGCTAGCTGGCTATTCATTTCGTTTCCTGAAGGGATTACCAATTCAGCTTAAGACCTGGCAAAGGCTTTAGCAGTTCCGAAGTGTTATCAATTTGTCCTCTCTCGTTAGCCATTCTTCCTCAGTTACGTTTGGGCACTTGCTATTGACTACGAAATTTGTTCTGAATACTTTTTTATAATATTTGTTATGATGTTGGTAACGTTTTATTTCGAGCCATTTACCATCGTGTGAGTGTAATTTCATTGTCTACTTTAGATCCAGTGTATAAGGACAGATTTCACTGTGAAAGTTTACGAGACGAATGCTCGGATTGCACTGGAGCAGGGCGATCGTGAAGAATACAATCAGTGCCAAAGTCAGCTCAAATTATTGTACAGAGAGATACCGAATTCGCCGAATCGCTATGAATTTACATCCTACCGATTGCTCTATTACATTTCTGTTGCAAATACCATTGGTATGATTTTCCTTGTCGTCTTTTTTTTTTTTTTTTTTTTCAAGTCGCGCTGTTTTTGGTAGGATTCTTTTAATTGGCAAAGTACGCCATCGTGCTCTTAGGGAGAGTTAAAATCACACTTTTCTTGCTTTAGCTAGCATACTCTTAATTGGTAAGGTACTACTGCATTGTGGTCTTTACGATGATGCTCACACACACACGCACGCACGCACACACACACACACACACACACACACACACACACACACACACACACACACAAAGAACATTTCGGAAAGAATCCTTGCCAGGTCTGGGAAATTTCTAAGTTAGAAATCTCTTCAAGAAACAAAAGGAACGTTCGAAAGCAATTCAATTACTTGGCGATGCAAAATTGATCAAACCGGCTTGAAAGTTCACCCTGGCTTAGATGCACTACTGGACTATGAATTAAAACAGTTATATCGGATGTTTCTGATATGACAGCGCTTTTCTGGTTTTGCTATCATAATCCGTCCAGAGAAGAATACTAAATTTATCACATTGCTTTAGCCATGTGCAGGCTGTTTTAGCTTGCTTGCTTTTTAGCTTTGTCCCCTCCTACGCCCTTTTCTAACTCCTGCCATGAATAAGAGAGGTGCTTGGAGTTGCTAATATGGGAATTATCAAGGGTACGAGGATAGAAATGCCGGGAAATATACTAGAATTAGGCGGGGAGCATGCCGACAACATTTGTCATGGGATACCCGTACTGTGATAACCGAGGTGATCTTGGTATTCTTGATACATTGCTTACTGCAGTAATCTTTGTTGTTTCTTTACTCGTTGGTGTTTCTTTTCAGATCAAACTACTTTGTTAAGTGAGTTGGATGAAAAAGCACGAGAGGATCCGTGTATTGAATTTGCGCTGAAAACTAGAGAAGCTTGGGCACTGGGCAATTATGTGAAACTTTTCCGACTGTATGAACATGCCCCACGAATGGCATCTTATGTGATGGATTTGTTTCTGGAGAGGGAACGAAAAGCCGCCCTGAATGCCTGCCTGAAATCGTATGTTCTGAGTATTCTTAATAATATATACGATTAAAAAATCTAGCACCCAGGCATAATCCTTAGCATAATTGATGTAATTGGTGTTGATAAATTAAGTATGATAGACTTCTTGCTAGTTGACTTTTTTCGTTAATAGCTAATAACCTCCAGCAAAATACCAATCCAAGTAACTCACCGCATTATACGAGTGGCATCGGTTTGAGTAGCATCGGGGCACGGCGGAGATACAAATCCTAGCAGCTCCAAACATATCGAGAAAGCACTGTACTGCTCTTTAGTGAGCATTCTGCTGTACCTCTTCTGGACACTATCTCGTTATTGTTGGAATTGGTCAGTGGGCACAGAGTGTTCATTTAGTAAAATGAAATGAACTCGAAAAATGCAAGCGCACACCTAAAATAATGTAGTAAGATCTCACGGCTAAAAACATCCGGTGCTTTCATTTACTTCTGTACCATTATTATTGTTAAAACTTCTGTTAGGTAAGTAATATCTTACAAAAATATATTATTCTTGTCCCGCTCACGGGTATTTTATAAAATATTTGTGGAAAAAAGGAGGGATGTTGGCCTTTCTGGTAACCATATTTAAGCACTTAGAATACCAGGGCCGCTCGAGCAGTTGTTGTGAAATCCGAAGTTAGTGCTGCTACTGGAATGCTCCCTCACATTAGAGTCCAATTTAAGTAAATTTTGTGAGTGGCTATTTTATCAGTTCTTTTTTTTTTTAAAGTTCAAATCTTCTTTAGTAATCGAGATTTCTGGTTCAGCAGTTTTGTTTACTTAGAGATCAGGAGGCGTTTTTTCTTTTCCTGTTCTTTTGACAGTCGTGGTTTTTGTGTGGTGAATTTGCGTTTGAAATGAATCAGAGCAGTTTTGTTTTGTAAGTGATAACTGCTGAAACTGGCAGGAGGCGAGTGTCTGCTGTCAGTTGTACACAGATATTAGGTTGATGTAGCGACTGATGTTATTTAACAGGTATTGAAAAATTCAAGAAACAAACTCAAATTTCAGGTTTCGGCCAACAATCACGGTAAGTGCCTTGGTATCACTGTTAGGCCTCGAAGAGACAAAGCTATGTGAATGGTTAGCAACTCTGGGAATAACACCTAGCGATGGCAAAATTGACTGTCGTACTCATTGCAGTGCGATAACTGCATGATCTTTTTTTCTGTAAGTATATGTTGAATTTTAAAAACTTCTTAGTGATTTCACTAGTACTGGTATGCGTCGCTTTTTTTTTCCAGTTCTATTATGAGACTGTTTTTGATATGATTATCGAAAACCTCTCCTAATACTCTAAAAATTCTCATGCAGGAACCAAATAAAATACACTGACGAGACGAAAAAATTTCCGACAGTACGTGGAAACACAAGAATATACAGGCCAAATTTACAAGATGAACAAGTTTGCGAATAATGAGCTGAAAATCCGTTTTACAGAATTCGTGTAATTTCAGTTCACTTTTCACACTGTACAAATCCACATGCTAACGGCACTTATACGAAGAAGAAAGCACATTTGAACAAAAAGAGACATGATCCGATACCGAAACAGAGAAACGATAGCGTAATATGAAATCATAATTGGCCAACACACGGGCTGCCGTGCGAAGATGCGTTTTTTGCATAGTTCCCCGCAGTTTTTGTTGCTACCGGCACCGGTTTGTTCGGCAAATGCTTCTAGTTAAACAAATTAAGACTGGCCGCCAGAACTGTCAGAAAACATCCCCTTAAAAATTCAGCTTTCTAGCTTCCCTGGCACCTGAGTTAGCAAGTTACTGGAATAAAATTTTCACCGGCCCGTGCATGTTTACCAAGCATACCTAAGAGCTGGGTTCAAGCTGAATGAAACTTAGGTGGACGGGTATATCCTCTTTAAATTACATTCCTTTAGCTTCTCAGGTACTTGAGTTGTCAATTTACACGAA